AGCTGTTATTCCTTACAGGTTACAAAAGGAGATCGGGTTTAATTTTATTCTGTTTTGTCATCAACTGTCTGTTTCTTGTATCCACAAACATTACGGTAGCTTTTTAAGGAGAAATGTCAATGAACATGTTCTTAATGTTAGAAACCTCAAATATCCAATATCTGAAGCTTATTAGCTGAATATCTGAAGCTCATTAGCTGAAGCATCATACTGCAACATTTGCCATACTGCAACCATATTGGAACTGTTAGGCATCATAAATAACGGGGTACATAAAATTAGCGTACTTCGCTTCATGATTCTCTAAGATATTACTCAGTCTATAGCATATCGTATATTCGATTTAATGTTTCACTGGGAAAACATGCACCGAAATGCCTTCCGGACGCAACGACAAAATGAATTTTATGCACGTATAGCAAACTTCCTTCATCACAGCCCTGTAGACCTTGCCATAATTTGATGACTTTCTGTTATGGCGTCATAACATTTGTTTCAGTGAACAGTTGTTGTTGTTCCTAGAGAGTCCACAGAGCCAGAGCTCACACAGATTTTGACAAAACCCACTCTAGTCGCAGCCGTGACTTCACTCCTTCGCATTTGGTTGGAGTACCCAGTCAAGCAAAGCCGTTCATTCATGCTTGACTTCGAAATTTGTACACAAGAATTTGCTTAACCTGGCATCAGTTCGTATAGCGTCTATACAGCTGGGCATATAATTTTTGACAGGTATTTGTTCAGACCAAGCCATAGGTTTTGCCGAAATCAAAGAAAGTTGCAAAGCATTTGAATATTCTAATATAGCCTCTATCATTTATTCGTATTCATCATACACCCAGGGCCTGTTTTGAGTTGGTACTATATCAGCCAAGATGTACTAAAGTTACTGACTACTGCTGCTCACCATAACATGCATGAACGGTTAGCAGGAAGAAATAGTAGGTTCATGGTACTGCAGCTGATTCGATTTGACCGTATAAAGAGCTAGCACTTATATGAATATGGAAGTATATTACGAGATCGTCGTCCATGCTGTTGTATGGAACAAGACACTGATGCAGCATTTCACTGTTGGACGACGGTCCATAATACGATTTATGAAGCATTGTTTAACGCACTCCTATTTTTCCAGAAGGATGCAGAGGCACGAATGATTAATTATGAACTCAGAAAATACTGCACATTTACATAATACTGTTAAGAGGCATATTTTATGATAGTCATCGATATCAAAAATAGCCATTGAACTTGATGCCAATGTTCCTTAACAAGGGCAATGTTGCTGCACTTATTGCATTCAGGACATTGTAGTTATGACAAACTGCGTTCAAGAGAGGCTCATTATTGGTCTTTTTGTCTCTAATGTTTAACTACTGAAATACATGTAAATGCACATGCTTGCTGGTAATTCAAAACGTAAAGTTTTCTCTGGAAAAAAAAATCAGGGAGAACAAGCTATCAGGCTTACAGTCGCTTGGCTGAAATTGAAGCATTGTAAGCCGTACACCCTTACAAAACAATGCGAACAGATAAAAAGCGTATTTGACTATGCAATAATAGTATCAGGAGGTAACTTTATTCACGACACGGCAAATATTCTTTCAATTTGCCTCTTATAGAACGCGCTTGTTTCGAGAGGAACCACTTCCTCACTGGTCAATGTAGCATCGAGATTTCTATTCAAGGTCCAAGCGATGAATGCTTGGTTCAGAGATGTAGACGTAACCTCAGTGCGGAAGAAGGCGTCGAAACTGATATTGTGTTCGAATTCAGTTCAGACCCTTGCAAGGATAACGAGGAAGAGTACGAACTAAACGTAGGCGCGAGAGTTTACAAAAGATACAAGCCTTTGGAAGGCGAACTGCAACTCACGCTGGAACCTGTTCACATCACCTCTTCGGAATTTCACATTATCACTTCGATGAAACTAAGCAGCCCCAGAGTAAAAGTGATAGCAAACCACAGTAGGACTGCTGCAAATGAATTTATTCATTACACTTGGCACCTGAACACATTTATATATCGTATTCATGACTACGTAACCAAACACTCAAAGAGCTCTGCTCTTATGAATCCATATTCTCGTTTAATTGACACTGTATTGACTGGTCAGTGTTAAAACGAATTAATCAATTATGTGTTTCAGAAGCTCCAAAAACCACGCAGATTTCGATCGAAGATTATTTAGGTTAGACGGAGTTTACTTCGGTATACGGTTAGTTCGATATATTTGTGTCCAGTACTGTACTGCTGAAAACATGCGGCGTTCAATGAGTAGTTAAGTACAACCAAGTGTCAAGTAAGTTGCCGTCTGCGGATCGAATGGAAAAGAATTTGAAAAGCTGGGTTGAGGTGTGGCAAAGTGAACTCTAAAATTGCTTTGCCCTTTTGATCCGCTAGGTTCTAGTAGCGCAAGAAAATACATTAAATACAGATATTTTCTTTAAATGTGTATTGTCCTTTTGAAAAATAATTCACTTAGTATTACCACGGGGCAACTGAACGAAAGCCCTGTAGAAGTTGCCTGAATTGCAAACATAGTGAGGAAACGGAATTCGTCTGTTCTCACGCAAGAGAGTGCGAGTCAGTCAGCAATCCGGGTTATTGGCGCGATTCGCACTTACTCACCTAATGCCCGTATATCAATCACCGAATTTAATACACCTTATATTCAGTTTACTGTAAGTTTATTGGGTCAAAATGTAATAAAATATTCGATGGCTGAAAATTAACATCATTCTCTAATGAGCAGATCCTATATTTACTGAAGAGCTAAATATGATAGTAAGTGAAAGAAACAGAGACAGCGAGTACAATCAAAAATCTGACACACTTTCGCAGCTCTGCTTGAACGGCGAAAGTACCCAGTGACGTTCTGGATGAACTAGAGTGATCCATTATGACTGAAGTAGGTCTCAGTCTGGAAACTCAGCTCTCGGAATTGAAGCCAATCTTTATCTCCATGCCTACCCAATGCCATCGATGAGGGACCATGACTGAAAAACTTCGATCGCGGTTGCAAACGGCTAAATGAGCTTTCTTAGACGATTCGCTGGCCTAACGGGTCTTGACGTTGTTTAGAATGGTGAGATCCGGAAGAGCCTTGGTGTGCAGCCTCTGATTTTGCAGATCGAGAAATCGCTTTAGGTGGCAATTTGAATTATTTGCATCGATATAATGAATTTAATGCGCACATCGAATTAAATGTACAAAAATCTAGTTAAACACGATTTTAGTCCATGATATCATTGCTGTTGCAAGAATTAACGTAGAGCGCGAAAAAGCTTCCATCCATCCGCAACATGAAGTTCTTGATGACCTCTCGTTCCCCGCATCGCCGCTGCTTCGTACGAAAAAGAATCGACAGATTGTCAACGATTATGAAACCCAATAGCTATTACGGCCATCGAAATGAATGAAATATTTTACGAATGAATGAATGAAATATTAATATATTCATGTCACATGATTGAAATATTACTATGGCAATCGACAGCATTGTGCAAGATCGACTTCCCTCTGTCATCACGGACGCGTGTACTTTGATGACGGCCGCTGCCGCGCATTCCCTTGACAGCACAACACCGTTATGACTTTGTTTTGTTGGAGAGTAGACAGCTATTTCATATAGTTGAAACTCTCCTAATATTATAGCAGCAAACTGGTTTGATACAATGGATATTTGTATTTTCGGATTTTTATTGTTACCTGCACGTGATTTTACCGTATAACGTTGTTCATGTTCGAAACATGTAGCGTTCACTAATGATATACTAGATTTAAAGAATTTATAGGATTTCTTCAGCGAATTTACGTTTTAATTGCATTTC